CAAAACTCCTTTACTTATTCCAGACAATCCCAATAAAATTATCAAAAAAATTTTTTGATGATATAAATAAGATAACTCTTAAATTTATTTGGCAAGGGAAAAAAGCTAGAATCAGTATTAAGGCCTTACAAGATGCAAAAAGTAGAGGTGGGCTAGCGCTTCCAAACTGGGAATTATATTATTGGGCAGCCAACTTACTATGGTTAAAAGACTGGGTCAATTTACGGAATAAAAGAACTCTAGCCTTGGAAGGGCACGACCTTCAGAGAGGATGGCACGCATTTCTATGGGATGTGGGGAAAACTAAACAGGCGTACTTTCATAGACATCTTATTAGAGATTCACTATTAACTAATTGGAAAAAAATATGTAAAAAACATTATTTAAAAATTCCGATTTGGCTTTCAACAATGGAGGCAATGGTTCATCCCAACAATTTGGATATAACAAAAACGACTAAATATAAAGATTTATTAGATCCCTTAGGAAAATTAAGAACTCGACAGGACTTACAGGAACAGGGATTTAAAATTGATCAGTGGTTATATATACAAATCCATAGTAGATACAAACAAGATATCAAAGAGTTTGGAATCTATAGCAAATTACAACACTTAGATAAAATCTTATTAGGATCAAATAAAAAGAATATCTCCAAATTTTATAAATATCTATTGGAGGTAGAATTAGAGCAAGAGATAGTGAAAGGGAACATGATAATGTGGAGTAGGAATATTGGAAGAAGCATTACATTAACAGAATGGGAAAAGATCTGGAATAGAATCATTAAGATTACGAAATCTGCGGCGTACAAAGAAAATATGTATAAAATGTTATATAGATGGCACTTACCCCCTTCGAGGTTAGCGAAAATGAACCCAAACTCTAGTCCAAAATGTTGGAAATGTAAAAACATAGAGGGAACCTACTTTCATATGTGGTGGACCTGTAAAGAAGCCCAGAAATACTGGCAAAAAATTAGAAAATGGCTGGAGGAGATAACCAAAGATCAAATTGAATATAAACCAGAGTTCTTCCTACTAGGGATTTCTGATAAACATTTTCCTAAAAAGACGAAATATATAATAATTCATATTCTAACTGCGGCCAGATTAGCATTTGCTCAGTGCTGGAAATCATCCCGTTTACCTACAGATCAATTGGTCATTCAGAAAATATGTGACTGCGCAGAAATGGACAATTTAACCATAGCTCTTAAAAATAAAGAGTCTTCAGCATTTGATAATAATTGGAATGCATGGTATAATTGGTTATATCAGAGATAAACTGTTCAATGAGCATAAATAAGCATAAATATCCATAAATAGCGATAAGATGTGTATATTTAAAGTAAGAGAAGAATTGGAGAATTGGATCTTGTAGACTGTCAAAAAGAATATTTGTCTGGTTTTAACGTATTTTCTTTTTTCTTCCGTTTCTTTGTTTTGTTTTGTTTTTTCTCTCGTTTATATTCCTTTTTCTCCTTTTTCGGTCGCAAGACCGAGCGTTTTTTTTTTTTCCTCTCTCTTTCTCTTCTTTCTTTCTTCTTTTTCTCTCTCTGTTTCTTATGTAATGTTGTTATGTTATTTTTTTAATTGTAAATTCAATAAAATTTATATGCGAAAATGCAAATAAGCCGGGGATGTGGTTAGCCCATAAAATTAAAAATAAAACAAGAAAAGAGAATGATCGTAGTTCTCCAAGATCAGGAAGGAAAATTATGCACACAGACCCAAGAAAAGAAAGAAATTGCTAAGGAGTTTTTTTATGAAATTGTATAAACAGGAAGAAATACCAGAAGAATCTATTGATCAATACTTGAATGGAAAGAACTTGCCCGAAATTACTGATGAAGAGAAACAAAATTTGAATAATAAAATATATTGAATAATAAAATAAAATAATAAAAAATAAAATTAGGAAGGTAATCGGAACACAAAAAGCATTCTATAAGGAATTCCAAGAAACAATAGAGGAGATATTGGTGGACTTGTACAATGAAGCCCTGGAGAATGTTAACATGCCTAAATCATAGTTGGAAGCATATATTACCCTTATTTATAAAGAACAATCAGACCCACAAAAAATTCAAAACTATAGACCAATATCACTTTTAAATGTAGATTACAAAATAATGGCCACAATATTGGTGAAAAGATTAAAGAGAGTATTAAGTAGAACTATCCACACTGATCAGAATGGCTTCCTCCCCACAGGCAAATAAAAACAAATACAAGAACCATTATGGCTATATTAGAATATTATGAAGTATACTCAACCAAGACAATGGCATTGATAAAAGAAGGCATTTGACAACCTGAATTGTGACTTCCTTATTAAACAACTCATAGGCATGAAATTTGGTGAAAATTTTATAGGATTCATTAAGACAATTTATAACATGCAAACTGCAAAAATATTAATAAATGGGGAAAATACAGATACCATAAAGATAGAGTAAGACCAGGCTTCCCCCTAGCTCCCCTATTGTACATATTGGCAGAAGAGACTCTATTAGTACAAATTAGACAAAAGTAAGAGATTAGAAGACTAAAAATTAAAAAAGAAGAATATAAACTCCAGACATTTGCCGATGATATGGCATTTATATTAGAAGAACCCTTAGAAGTGAGCCCTATATTACTAAGAGAAATAGAAGAATATGGAACGGTGGCAGAGTTAAAAATTAACAAAGAAAAAACAAAAGTGTTAACAAAAAACTGTACAAAGGAGCAGAAGGAAGAACTAGCAAATAAATTAGGTATGCAGGTGGTAAATAAAGTAAAATACCTAGGGATCTGGTTGTCTGCTAGATGTTTGTCGATTAAAAAAGATAACTATGATAAGTTAATAATGCAAATAGTTAAAGATTTAGATAATTGGATCAAATTAAAGTTATTGATATTGGGATGTATTTCAATAGTAAAATGAATATTTTGCCAAAATTGTTGTTCTTGTTTCAAACAGTGCCAATCAAGTTGGAAAAGAATTTTTTTGTAGAATTAAATAAATGTATATCTAAATTTATATGGCAGAGGAAAAAACCCAGAGTGAAATATAAACTATTACAGGATGCCAAGAAAAAAGGAGGATTTGGTCTTCCAGATTTTGAATTATATTATGATGCTGCTATAGTAAACTGGCTTAAGGATTGGGTTAAATTAGAAAATAGAATATTATTAGTATTAGCGGGTTTTGATCTCCAGCTTGGCTGGCACGCCTTCATATGGGATGGAAAATCTAAACAACATTCATATTTCCAAAGGCACCATGTAAGAAATGTTTTGTTTAATATCTGGGGAAAGATTTTAAAAAACCACTACCCAAAGGTTCCACTGTGGCTATCTACATTGGAAGCAGTTACACATCCAAATGTATGATTATGAAATAATGATTATGAAAATATTGTTAGGTATAAAGATTTATTATATGACACTGGAGAGCTTAAAAACAGGAACCAAATACAAATTCAAGGAAAGGAGATAGCATGGTGGCCTTTGCACAAATACAAACCCATTATAAAAAAGATAGAGAACAATTTGGCTTTAATACGTCTCCACAAGAATTAGATAAAATATGGCTAGGAGAGGAAAAGAAAACAATTAGTAAAACATGTAAATATCTTTTGGACTACAAATTAAAAGAAGAAACAGTTACAGAATCTATGATAATTTGGACTAAAAACGTGGGTCATAGTATTGAATTAGATAAGTGGGAACACATTTGGCAAACAAATTACCCATGTCAGTCTCATATAAAGAAAACTTATATAAAATGGTTCATCACCTACCTCCTGCGAGACTGGCTAACATGTTTCCCAACCTACCACCCAATTGTTGGAAATGTAACTACGCACAAGGAACATATTTTCACATGTGGTGGACTTGCTCATGTGCTCAGAAATTTTGGAGAAATATTAGAAATTGGATTTTAAATATAAGAAAACAAAATTTAAAACTTGAACCCAAAACCTTTCTGCTAAGTATGATAGATTCAAACATGGAGAAAAAAATATCAATATTTAATTTTGCATATAATAACTGCGTCTAGAATAACCTACACACAAAACTGGAAACTGTCTTCCATTCCCTCAGAGGATATGGTAATTTAAAAAATACATGAATGCACTAAAATGGATAGCCTAACCAAACTGTTAAAAAACAAACAAGATAGTGACTATAATGACATATGGAACATTTGGTGTGAGTGGTTAAAGAAAAGGTAATATTTGATATTTGGATATGTTATGGAAACAACAGAAGACATGCATTTAATTACAAACTATATAAGAAATTAAAACATTAAAAGAACAAAGGAGTTATGGTAACAAGGCAGATCACGTCAATGATAAAGATAAAGAAAAAAACCATATGTATGTATATACTTAGTTTAAATAAGGAGCGCACCCACAATAATGTCAAGAAAATTTACCATAGCATATGGTTTTAACTGAGATTCTTTGCAAAAGACAAGAGTTTTTTTTCCTGCTCCCCTGATGAATTTCCTTGTTTTTCCAAGTTCCCCATTGTTTGTTGGTTGTTGCATTGATGTGATGGTTATATAAATTGAGGGTTAATTGTGTATTTAACACTTAAAATTATTTTCCATGTCAATTTCTCATGGCATTGCATATCATCAAGATAACTAGCACTAAAGCCCTCCAAAATATGGTCTGCAATATTAAGATAGCAAAGTTGGAAGGCATGTTTTGATTACTTCTTCCAAGCCTATTTGATTCAAAAATTATGAGACAAATAGTTGCTTCTCAGGAAAACATCACTCTCTCCCCCTTTATCTATTTTCATAGCTTCAGTGCTGGTGACTATCATGTCAATTTGATAGAAATAAATTTCAGGACAATACTGCCACACTTCTTCCTCACTGAATTCCAGGAGAAGTTATCCTGAAGAAGGTATCCTGTGATCCCAAATAAAGAATGATCGATCAGTAGGAAAATGGGGTGGAGAATTTTCCTGCAGACTTTTTTGGAGATTTTCCCAGGGTCTCTGGTCCGCAGTATTTAAAATTATGAGTTTGATGGTCCCTGAGGTCCAAAAGGTGGCGACCCCTGATTTAATAGGTTACATGAAATACCTTTATAATAGAAAGACAACATCTGCTCTTTGACTTTCCTTCTTGTAGGATATAGGAAAGCTACATGGCTTTCAGGAAAGCTACATGGCTTTCACATCCCACATACTTCAACAAGAGCGGACAAGGGAATATCTTCTCAGAAATGTGCCTGTCCAGGTTTTGTTTTACCACCGATAAACCCAAATAGGGGAAGAGGACTGGAATTGTGAGACCAGAAGCTCTGTAAATGACCATAGGCACTCTTCAATAGATAATTGAGTGTGAAGTCTTATTTCTGATATTGGGGTTAAACATATAATTGAGAGTTCTGGGGCTTTATTTCTTCCCCTGTTACATGGAAGTATCACATCCCAAAGTCTGAAACTCATTCTCAGATTGGTATTAGAGTTCCCTAGGCTTACAGTTCTGGGATACTTCAACTATTTGGGGGGGGCTGTAGTAATTTAGGATCACATGTCTGTCATGGTTATCATGGATATGTCCCAAGTTAGCACATGAGGCTCCTGAGTTTCCTAAGGCTCTGCCTTGTATGGTGCTGCAGGACTCTGTTTTGCTCTGTCCTACATATTGGCAAAAAAAAATATCAGAAAATAAAATACAGGCTGAATAGTCAAGACCTTGTTGAAGATCCAAACTCTGTCAAGGTCTTTTTGAAGGGTAACAGTATTGTCTGTAGTGTTGAATAGCTTTACATCATCAGTGAAGAAAATGCAGTGTATTTATATGAAATACACCCATATTTCAGATTGAACTGGAACTCCTATGACAACTAGGCAAAACTATGCATTTGTCTTGACAGTAAGTTGAAATGGTTTACCAGTGCCTCTCCCATTACTCTACAGAACAGGTCTCCCATGTAAGTCCAAATCCTGTTTAACTTCCAAGTCCAAACACTGAGGCACATATCTATAAAGAAGTAATAAAGCAGACACATATGTATATATGTGCACATAAACATACATACCATTAATACTGAAATTTTGCTATCTTTTAAAAAGACAGTCCAGAAGACACAGTGAGCAAATTATATGCGTGAAATGGAAAAACAGTTTAGTTTAAACAAAAAAACAAAAAAACAAGTCTATAGATGTTGTTTAAAAATCCTGGAAGGGATGCAACTGCAACAGGAATATATTACACTTCTTTTCCCAACTTGAATGCAAGTTTCTATGTCCTTGTTTTTTTTTTCATAATATTGTGATAATAACTAGTTGTGCTAGAAACAGTCAAATACATGCTGATATTTTCAAATATACAATGGAGACTGCACTGCTATACTGTTAAAATCTTTAATTTCTAAATGGCAAGCAGTTTTCAATAAAAAAATATAAAATACAGATTCTAGCTGTTCCCTGCAGGAATAGTACATAAATATCCAGTAGAATAATTTGTTACACTAGAATACACAGGGTTGGATTCTGTTTAATTATACCAACATTACTGAAGTTCAGTGCTGCTATCTTTGTTTTAGTTATTTTAGATTCACAACAGTAGAGCCAGTTGGGGAAGTGGTTAAGAAAGTTAAATAAAATTATTTTTGAGTATATTTGTTTCAGATTGTTGTGTGAGCAAAAGTTTTTAAAGGGGAAGGGAGATAGGAACAATTTTTTGCACTTTGGGTTAAATCAATATCATTTAAATTTCATTCTGCAGAAGAGCAATGCACTTCAAACAATAATATCTCTTTCTTCAATATATTCTTGTGAATATAACATTTCTGCTAGTTCTACAACCAAAACAAAATATTGAAATAGTCTGACTTGAATGCTGACTCGTAAGATTTTTTATGACAAATTTGATGAAATATATGTTATTATACAAGCACACACATCCATTCAGGTCTATCATAATATCAGAAGTGTAAGGAAAAATTAAAAATATTATTTTAATTTTTTTTCTAATATAGGCTGTCCTCACTTAATGACAGTAATTGGGATAAGAATTTTCATTACTAAGCAATACAGCCCATCATTAAGTCATCAAGTGAGGATTATGCATGATCATGACTTCAGCTTTCAGCTTCCCTATTGGATTTGCTTGTGGGATTTGCTTGTGGGAAACCAGAAGGAAATGTCACAAATCATGATTGTGTGACCATAGGATATTTTGATGGTCAAAAATCCAGGCTTAGTGCCTAGATCTTGATCATATGACTGTGGGACATTGCAATGGCTGGGACTTCAAAAGACTGTTCATACTACCAGTCATTCATTCAGTAAATTTAAATGATTGCTGAAAAAGTAATAATCAAAAGAGGACACCTTATATTATTTTGGCCTCTAGTACTACAATAGTCTTCCTTTTTTAAAATGTAAATTTTAATTAATGATGCTCATTTTAAAATATTGTCATGGAAAATTTTAATAACTTGGTTAAAAGCATTCATGATGCCGGATATATGCACTAACAATAGCTAGATGTTTACTGACATGTAAAACCCTATCTATACCAGCTATTATTTTAAAATAGCTTTGTAAATATACACAAATCAGACAGATTATTTTCCAAGAGCTTTGTATGATTCTAATTCATAAATTATTTTTCCATGCACAAATTCAAGAACTGTACATGTTCACAGTGTAATATGAAATTAAAAAGTAAATATACATGCTAGGTTAACGAAATATGTAAAATAATGTAGTACGACAGCTGTTGTTTAATATCAACATAATTTATTAATGCCTTGGAAAAATAGGCATGTGAATGTTTTTTCTTAAGTATGCAACTTAAATATAAAATAATCTTGTATATGTTCATAATTGGCATGTACATTATTTACAACTTTTTGTTTGAGGTTAAATATCAAACCAATGCTACTGATAGCAAATTAATATGTACTTTGTTGAACACTTTTGTCACATTATTAATAAAATCAGGTGTCACATTATTATTAAATCAGGTGTGTATTATGTTGGATTGTATAACTATTCTAAAACCAGAAAAACACATGGCTTCTTTAAAAAGGCACTGAGTGGCGGAGGAGTTCATGCCCAAGTCTGGTTCAAACACCTTTTCAGTTTCAATGCAGCAGTATCAATCTTTTGGCCATAGTAAAGATAGTTAAGTCATATTTGTTTTTCTGTATTTCTCTGTACAAAACTGTACCATTTGCTTTAATTAGAAGTTATTAAATATATTAATGGCATGGAAAATGTAGTTATGGTTCCAATATGCCTACTGTTTTATTTAGTAAGACAATTCTAAGAACTGAACATAAACAAGGATATGTTCACAATGGTTAAAAAAGTGAAAGGGCTGGTGATGGCAATATTTTCCTTACTTCTTTTCAGCAAGAAAACAATAAAGGGTACCATTTCTTGGTTCCTCAATATGTTTAGAAACCTGGAACCTAGAATGATAGGAATGGAAGGACCTTGGAAATGTTCGAGTCCAACCCTTGCCCTTGGCAGGAGATCCTATACCATTGCAGACAAATGGCTTTCCAATCTCTTCTTGAAAATCTCCAGTGATGGAGCCCCCACAATTTCCAGAGACAAGCTATTCCACCTCTCTTTAATTTGCACTATCTTTTAAGCAATGCAGAAAATGTCATCAGCTTTTAGTGGAAAGAAGCAACAAGCAACTGTTTTGCAATTTGAATTAAAGGAATTGTTTCTCTTTCTTATTAGTATCTTGTAATAAATAACATATTTATGATTTCTTATATTTATTTTTGTCACTACTACCTACAATATTCATTTGTTGAAGGCATCATATTTGTTGAAATATATAAATATTTCTGTTTCAGTGCTTAAAATGTGAGTGTCAGGACTTACTTACAGTACCTAAAATCAATCATGCTTCAGAGTACTAATTTGTCTAATTCCAATAGCCATTAATTCAATTAAAATCATGCAAAACTATGCAGAACTGAACAGGTTTTGACTTTATTCCCTATATTTTAAGAAGTAGTTTTTCACATTGATATTTTATTTTTAAACAACTCATTCCAATGTTATTTTAGTCCCTGCATTCAGAGAATAGTAAAGACTTATTTTTAATTACATTCACTTGTAAACTGATAGATATTCCATCAATGTTATGATCCTCTTGGATAGAAAAAAAATCCAAATGAAACTCAAACAGATTTTTTAGAATTATAATTACTTCTTAAACAAGGGAATTGTAGCCTAATAATTACCTACAAATTCTGATTAAATTAATCTGAAAGAAATTAAAATAAAATTGTTATCTGTTTCAATTCTATCAGCTATATAGTCACTTAGGATGCAATTATCAAGGTATCAAAGTATTATTAGATTGCATTATTTTCAAAAGGAGGCAGAGTATTCTGCAGGTAGCCTCAACTTATAACAGCAATTGAAACTGGAATGTCCATCACTAAAAGATGAGGTTGTAAAGCATTGCTTAGTGATGGTAATCCCTGCAGTCCTGGTTTCTATTGTTAACTAAGTCACATGTCATTAGGTGAGGCAACCTCCTACCTTCTTCCCACCACTGAATCAAAGGGATAACTGGAAAGAAGTTGAAAGTCCTAGGCAACTTTCAAGTGGGCCAGCAGGAAGAAGCTGCTTCTGGGTGTGAAGCACAGCATAATAGGTGCATGTGAAAAAGCAGGTATAGAATAAACACAGGCAGTCTGGAGGAGGTGACTAGAGGAGTAGACTTATGCCAATAATTTGCAAACTTCCCTGCCAGCTTCCCCATTGACTCTCTGAGGAAACTGGCAGCAAAGTTTGTAAATGCATAGTATATGATTACAGGTGCTACAATCAGCCATAAGTGTGAGTTGGTTTCCTAGTACCCAGATTGTAATCACATGACTGTGGGGATGGTGGAATGGCAAGAATTCCAAGAACAGGTTGCAACCATCAGTTGTTCAGCACCATTGTAACTTCAACAATGGTATTAAGTGAAGAGCTATCTGTAAGTATTTTTCAGGTCAAAAGTAGATGCAGTATTTGCATTAAATGTAAGATTATTCATAATGAAATTGCAGTATTGGAAAGAAAATGTTCAAAACACAATAAAACAAGAGTTATGTCAGGAAAGTCTCAAAATGTAGATACAAATATTATCAGCATTTTGTGGATTCCATCAGCACTTTGACTATCCATTTTGTGAATAGTCTTTGTGAAAGACTGTGAACTGATTGAATAAGAAACTGTTCCCCCCTCATTTGAATAAGGGGGAAACAAAGCTTATATTACACTCAAACATTAAAATCTAAGACAATCAAAAACAATTGTTTAGCATAGGTGAGACTTACCAGAAAGCATCTCTATCTCATAAATGTAATTAATAAAGAAAAGTCCAGGAAAATTCTTATGGCTTATCATTACAAATCATAAACAGATTCCTACTGAGGTCACCTCAGATTGACCTGGCACATAATTTACCTAGGGCAGGGTTCTACCCTTTATTGTAATTAAATGAGGACATGTAGAGTTCCAGCTGCAAAGCACTGAAAAAGAACATTTCAAATATCATACTGATCCTGCCCCCTCCTGCATTCTATAGACTATACCTTTTCATCTGTTGCAAAAGAGGCACATTATGCACTAAAATACAGTAAATAGTTTACTCCAGCAGAATTTGATTGAGTGACTGATTGATTATGTGCCATCAAGTCATTTTCAACTCCTAGCACATAAATAGATTTTCTCCATGTCGATCCACTCTTAAACTGGTGTTTCAGGTGTTCTATTAGTGCACTCATCGCCACTGTAAATGAGTCCAACTACCTTGTTGCTGATCATCCTCTTTTTCCCTTCCCTTCACCTTTCCCAGTATTAAACCCTTTTCTGGAGAGCTTTTTCATAATGTGTCTCAGAAACAACATAATTTGAACCTCTTCATGTGTATCTCAAGTGAAAAGGTTTATTTGTTCAATAATCCAGTTGCTTGTTTTCTTGTCTATCCATAGTATTCTCAGGAGTCTTCTCCAAAAGAAGAATTCAATGGAGTTTAAATATAATTTGTTTTCTTTTTACAATCCTTTAATCCCTTATTTTTGGAGTGGAGTTGGGCAATTAAATGGGGCTTAGCATTTACTAACTAGATGCCTTTCCTGATGCCTATACAGTGTTTGTAGTAAATATTTTCTCTTTGCATCCTGATAAAAAAAC